CGAGCGAGCGATGGCGCAAGCCTGGCACTGGCAGAGGCCGCCGCATAGTTAACCAACTTGCTCCGTATGGATAGTTAGTTTAGTCTTCGATGTCGAGCATGTTCCCTTTGCCTTACGAGGGAGCCAAAAACTCTGCTCTTATATAGATATTCATTTGGTTGGCTGGTGGGTGTCTGGAATGAGCATCAGCTAACTAGTCAGTAGTTACGGAGTAGTAATAAGAATGCCTGCAAGTTAGCCAGGTGAGTGCCGTCGTCAACTATCATCAGATCCTGGTAGCTGGCTCTGTAACCACGCAAGGAGTCACTAGTTAGTTATCGTCCTCCAGGAAACGAGCTGCCAGGCCATCAGCTCGCAAACGGGTTCGTGGGCTGCAGGGAAGTGTAGGTCCACATACATACATCCATACAATACCAGCAGCTCTGTCGCTCCTCCAAGGATGTCGAGTAGTTAACTCCCCTCCAGGGCCAGGACCGGGGCCGGGGCCTGTCTGGTCAGTCTGTTCCAGCACATCCCACAGGCAGCCACCAGCGATGCTTCCTCTGCCTCCGTCGCCGAGCAGAACGCCGGCCATAGTCAACTCGTGTAGTTGTTATTGCTTCCATTGCTGCGAGTGCTATTCCGTGTTCCGTAGCAGGCACTGCTGTAACTCTGCACGCCTAAAGAGAGAGCAGGACAGTCAGCCATTTGTCTGCTCCATAGCCAGCCTGGCAGTGATGCCATATAGTTATAGACACAGCAGCCAGCTACAATACCGAACGCGTTAACTAACTCGCTGGAGGAACGGTGGAGAGAAGATCGGCCGGCAGCTATATGTAGGCGACAGTCCGTACGTGGATAGACGGCCAGTGAGATCCAGCGTAGTCCCAGGCGAACGTGGCCGCAGCTATGTCTGTACCTCTGTGAGCGGAGAGAGGCCATCAAGTAATTATGTATCTAGTAGCTAGCTAGTTACTTGGTAGATAACTAACTAGCTAACTATGTAGTTAACTACCGTCGCCCACGCTGCGTCCATCCATCTGGTTTTACCCAGCTTGCTCCGCCCGCCGCCGCCGCCGCCGCCGAAACCGTCGGCCCAGGTCCCTTCGACCCTCGTCTGCAGCCCTCGTCCGCCCTGCCAACTCCATCTCCGTCCGTCCCTCTCGCTCGCTCGCTCGCTCACTCAGGCTGCTCTCCTCCAGCACCGTCCAAGGAACCTCTGCTCTTCGCTCGTCCTGCTGCTGCTGCTGCTGCTGCTGCTGCTCTCGGTGGGGCAGTTCAATTGCTTTTTTGCCCGCTGATCCCGCCGGCTGTTCCAGTCGAGAGAAACCACCCCGCCAGCTCTGCTCAGCCATCCCTTCGTCATCTAACTAGTTAGTTAACTGGTTAACTATCGAGCTCAGCTAGCAAGCTGAACCGCGACAACCACGGCCTCGACACACCATGGCGGGCTCAATGACACACAACGAGACAGCTCCCGGGTAAGTGGGCTCCCATGATGCACGCCGTTTTTGCCGTACAACTGCACATTACCTTGTTTTTTTTTGTTTGGGCGGCTGCGCTGATGATGACGTCTCTTGCTGGGTGTGCGTGTAGTTCGATGGAGCTCAAGGACGACACCGTCATCGTCGTCCTGGGTGCTTCGGGAGACCTAGCAAAGAAGAAGACTGTGAGTATATCTTCGCGTCTTTGCCGCCAGTGACGATGCCGGTTTGGCGTGGGCTAACAACAGCCGCTTCTCTCTCCAAATAACTAGTTCCCAGCGCTCTTTGGCCTGGTAAGTGGTCTCTCCGTCTCCCTCGGGAACCAGCAGTCACAACTCGAGCCTCATTTTCTGACCATACCTCCCTCATCCGCAGTATCGCAACAAGTTCCTGCCCAAGGACATCAAGATCGTTGGATATGCTCGCACCAAGATGGATCATGATGAATATGTCCGACGAATCCGGTCCTATATCAAAGTCCCTACCAAGGAGCTCGAGGAGCAGTTGAATGGGTTCTGCGAGCTCTGCTCCTACATATCTGGGCAGTACGACCAGGATGAATCCTTCATCACCCTTAGAAACCACCTGGAGGAATTAGAAAAGGGCCGAAAGGAGCAAAACAGGGTCTTCTACATGGCCCTGCCGCCAAGCGTGTTCATCACCGTCTCCCAACACCTCAAGAAGAACTGCTACCCAGAAAATGGCATCACGAGGATAATTGTTAGTGGCCTTCTCCCTGAGCCTTTTGAGTTAATAAGGATAGTTATGGCTAATTGTCATCACAAATGACGATGATGGTGACATGTTTAGGTCGAGAAGCCGTTTGGAAAAGATCTAGGTAGCTCCCGAGAGCTACAGAGGGCTCTTGAACCCAATTGGCGGGAGGACGAGATATTCCGTATCGATCACTACCTTGGGAAGGAAATGGTGAAAAATATCCTCATTCTACGTTTCGGAAATGAGTTCTTCGGTGCCACCTGGAACCGGCACCACATAGATAACGTCCAGGTATGTTTTATTGTTTCTGCCATTTGAGCTTGAACAGATAGGGAAAAAGAGAGCCTCATTTGCTGACTCTTGTCTACTATGCAGATCACGTTTAAAGAGCCGTTTGGTACTGAGGGCCGTGGCGGCTACTTTGATGAGTTCGGAATTGTCAGAGATGTCATGCAGAACCGTAGGCAAACTGATATCTATTCCCACTACAAGCAAGGGGCCGTCTGCTAATTGTGTCTTGAGCTAGATCTTCTCCAAGTTCTAACCCTGCTTGCCATGGAGCGTCCGATATCGTTCTCTGCAGAAGACATCCGTGATGAAAAAGTGAGAGTGTTGAGGGGTATCGATGCGATTGAGCCCAAGAACGTCATCATCGGCCAGTACGGAAAGTCTCTAGACGGCACTAAACCTGCATACAAGGAAGATGAGACTGTCCCCAAGGACTCCAGATGTGCTACCTTTTGTGCAATGGTTGCATATATCAAGAACGAGCGATGGGACGGGGTTCCCTTTATCCTGAAGGCTGGCAAAGGTTTGTTGCCCGTGTGTGTCATCTGCTCTAAATTACGTCTATGCTCACTAGACTTTTTTTTCAGCTCTCAACGAACAAAAGACGGAGATTCGCATCCAGTTCCGCGATGTTACCTCCGGTATATTTAAAGATATCCCCAGAAACGAGCTGGTCATTCGTGTCCAGCCCAACGAATCGGTATATATCAAAATGAATTCAAAACTCCCTGGGCTCTCAATGCAGACTGTCGTCACCGAGCTTGATCTCACATACCGTCGACGATTCTCGGACTTGAAGATCCCAGAAGCCTATGAATCCCTCATCCTGGATGCACTCAAGGGAGATCATTCCAACTTTGTCCGTGATGACGAGCTTGATGCCAGCTGGAGGATCTTTACCCCATTGTTGCACTATCTTGATGACAACAAAGAAATAGTCCCAATGGAGTACCCCTATGGTAAGCAGCTATAGCCTCTCTCTTCTATCTGACTTCTCTAATGGTCGTCCTTGTCACACAGGCTCTCGAGGACCTGCTGTCCTCGATGACTTCACCTCATCTTTCGGGTATAAGTTCAGCGATGCTGCAGGCTACCAGTGGCCACTTACCGCAACACCCAACCGCCTGTGATCGACTGATGTTACATTCAAATGGCGAACAATCTCTCTATTAGTCTAGTTCCAAGAATTCTTTTACGAAAAACCTCCCCATGAATAAAGTGGGTGTATAATGGAAATAAAACACATGTGCCTATGATATACTACGGAAACAAAAGGGCCATTTGCTGCGCGAGCTAACTAGTTATATGACTAGCTCTCCTGGTAGTATCTCACTGCGTAAAATAGCCCCTTTTCTTCACTGCGTTTTCCATCAGCCCATGAATTTCTTCTTGCCGCTCGGTTGATACGAATTTCGCTCGTGACTTTTAACTATTTATATGCCCTAGACCTTCCACTATATCAGTCCTGGGGGCCACTGTTTCGTCTCTTTTATAGCTGATTTATTTCATTTCATTAATTCCCTGGGCGAGCATATTGAGAACATCAAAGTTACGGAATAATGCTTATTATGCTCTCCCGCTTTCTACTTCGTTGGTCAAATTCATGCCAGTCGGGCCAAAAAGGATCAAGTGGTATCTGCATTATGTGATCAGTAGTTTTGACTCCTATGGCCTTTTATCACACAATAAATAGCTCATATATTATTTCCTTTCCCCCTGTTTACGTCTTTCATTGTACGGTTAGTTAACTACCTAACATCCATATGCAATGTCCTTTTTCGGGCTTTCCATGTTTCATCCGTTTTTCAATAGTTACATGTAAAATGTAAAATGTCTGCAAAAAAAAAAAAAAAAAA